AGCTAGCTACTTTCCAGGCCCAAACACCTCCATGCAGACATTCAAGTACATAACTCACCGGTGCGCTCCAGACAGCCTTGACTCCACCAGAGATCGAGATGCTGGAGGCTCGTGAAACCAGTCAAGCCAAACACCGAGCGCCAGGAGAACGCAGATCAGCCAACAGCCTCGGCTGAACAGTCTGCTTCCAGACGGAGAACCGACCCTAGTTATCTAGGCCAGGATCAGCTGATCCAGCACAGTCTATGCTGATCTAAGCCCGTCTCGAACAAAGCCAAGTCGATCAGAGCGAGTTGACCAATCACTGCTCGCGCCCGTGTGCTGACTGCGCCACACACAAACGTGCACAGACACGCGAATGCCTGTCTATGTTCATCTGAACACGACTGCCCAATTTGCCGACTAACAAACGGAAAGAGTACAAGAGACAGTCTAGACATATTTGTATTAAAGTAGGGTTTCGAGACATATTTGCACATTGGCCTGTGTTTGTGAAGAACTGTGTTCAACGCTAGTCGCCCAACTCCCTCATTTCTCCATCTTGGCCCTAGCCTTCGGACTGGCTGGTGCGCATTTCCTAGGCCAGATGGAGATTTGATTGGCTGACCGAAGCCATCGATTTGTCTCAGGCACAAGTGGAGGCCAGGTCGGGTCTGGGTGCGCTGGCTCGGGCTGTCTGTGCTCTAGGGCCGATTGCCGGCCGTCCGGCCCGAGCCTACCAGACGCGGAGCAGCGCCAGCTTCGGACGGGACGGGCCAAGTGCAATCTCCGCTGGCTCAGGCCACGTGACGTCGCGTCACTGCTGGCAGCCGTGCTCTCGGGGCCTCATCAGGTAGAGGAGAAAAGTACACCTATAAAATGGACACCTATAAAATGGACACCTATAAAATGGACACCTATAAAATGGACACCTATAAAATGGAAGATAAGCGGCAACAAGTTCAAGGACGTTTATCAACGTCATGACTTCATTGGAAAAGTATCATATCTCTTATGCCGCATGGGATAGCAACAAAGCAGTGTCCAGCCTTCTCGAATTATGTATTAACAGACATTGATAGCACTTCGAAACTCGCCAAAAGGTCCTCCTGTCTGATACTCCGTTGATCTAACAATCCAACAAATTAGAATGAGTTCTTCACTCGGCCTTGTGGGGCAGTGATTCCCAAACTGTCCGCCACGGCGCTCCGGGGAGCCGCGAAATATTGTAGTAGCTTCAATTTGATTTGCAGGCTCATCCATCACATCAATTATAAAACATTAATTTAATGTTGATAAAGTATTTGAAAAATAATGAAGATGCACGAGTTTAATTTATTTTTATCTCCTACTTACGAATAGTCATACTTATGGTAGGCGCCATGGAAAAATTGTAATTGAAAAAGGGCGCCGCGACTAGGAAAACTTTGGGAACCACTATTGTGGGGAGTTTTGAAGTGGTATCAGTGTATACTAACGTCCCAGTTGAGGAGGCTACTGAAGCATTATTACTCAGTCTGCATGAACATCCAGATGTTGTTGAGGAAGCAAACCTGGGCAAAAGCTCTATCTTAATACTACTTGATCTATGCATCAACAGTACATACTTCACCTTTAATAATAAATTTATTTGCAAATCAAGGCCTGGCAACTGGATCTCATCTGGGTCCCATTTTAGCAAATAATTACATGCCAACAGTGAAGGGATGCTTCACGGATGAGGTAAAATTGACATAAAAACTGTTAGTGAGATATATGGATGACTATTTTGCCATGTAGCAGTATAGTTAAGGATAGCTTAGATAAATTATTGTCTTTCTCTATCTACATTGTCAGCTTGAGATTACAATAAATCTGGCTAATTAACAACAAGAAATTATCT